GGCAAATCGCCTGCCATAATCCATTAATTCCACCGTGTGTGATAAAAGAAGCTACCTTGCTATGACCTGTGAAAAATGCGTGATTTTTTCAATTGTTTTGTATACTATGAAGAGCACGTAAAATCTTGGCTCGTGTGCTATTGATAATACTAGTGACATGCCTGCGTCTAAATTTTATTTCGTTTATATTATTTCGTTAGTTCACTCCATTACCTAGTAGATCATTCTGCGGTGCCCATTCCAATGTGACAACGTTTGTTGGAAGTCCGGTCATGTTGAAGTTAGCGATAATGAATAGGTACGGTAGATTAGAGACAGCACCTAGAAGCGCAGTCTTAAAACGCTGGTTCTGAAAAACGGGGGGAAAGAGAACAACGCTATGCATATTACAACTTTTAAAATCTATTTTCGTTCAAGATTGAATTGCCGAAATAATGGCACCGTTAATGTCATCACCTCGCGTAGATAAAGCTCCCATTCATAGAGCATATTGGAGAAAGTCAAAAGTTAAAATTCCTGCGCGGTAATTATGCTATTTGCCTCAATGTGCCTGGCTGGCGATGGTGTGATAACTAAAGACACCCATTACGCATGCGCGGCCTTACCTCGTTCAAACCGCCCGGTCCGTGCAGGAGAGTACCGAATGACATGTATATCACTTTTCTATTAGTCCTCGCTAGCAAATCATCCAGTTTCTGCGAGAAAGGCAAATAAATAATGATCTTTACATCCGACTGAGTAGAATGATCCACATTATGCAGGCTTCAGGATTTTTGATTCTGAAGTCGACATTTCAACAGCAACATACCAATTAATCAAATATACCTCGTTGACGACACGCGCTGGGCGCTTGTGTAGGCTGGGGGCAGGAGATCTTACGCCGTAAGTCAGTGGGCTAATTTGATGCAATAACTTAGATATTTAATTGTGAGACGAAATACTCTGTTACTGTTTGTGAAAACTAGTGTATCTCACAAACAGCGGTGACGCCTAATCATCTCATATTTCATGGATGGGCAAACTGCGCTCCACAGAATTTGCCAGACATTACGTACGAAACACAGCGTATGAAGCCAGTGTATCATAGGTAGGATAAGGTTCTAATATTCCACTTGACTATAGTTTATGCAATCAAAATCTGCTATTCTGAGATCGAGTAATCAACATCAACGTATCAGCTAATCAGATAGCTAGCTGACGATATTGTCGAATGCCTGTGAATTGTGTTGTGGCGACAAATCTACACCGGCGCCATTCCCCATTTTAAAGCAAGAATTAAAATATATCAAGAGTGAAATGTACGAAAAATGATCTACCATTATTTGTGTATCTGAGAGGTATTACATCACACACTCGTTCCACTAAATTTTCTATCACTTGTGTAAGATAACCGTAGTCTGAGGACGAACAGTGATTCATGAAACCGCATTGTCTCGTGGAAGAGTGGTGGTCTTAATATTTGCATTCGGTAACCTACTCGCGAAATACATGCAGAGAGGTTTAAGATTCTGGATACACACTCGCTACTATTTTACCTGAGGCAGCGCTTTTAACGGCTGGCAGAGCTGACCACCAGTATGCTGGACGTGGGGCATCGTAGGGCGTGGATGGTCGAACGCAGGGTTGCTAGAGAAAAGCACTAGCGCTGCCCTGTCTGTAATTCGTTCGTATCTCTCGTGCGACTAAAATGGTATAGATAACATTATTTACATGTATAAGCTGACACCGATTTGCTTTTCAGAAATGAATCATTTCAACGCAATTTACGCTGTAAGAGATTCCGTATGACTAGGTTAATTATACAAGTTAATCAAATTTTCGTTTAAAATAGTTTATTCATATTTTTAGTAAATTTGTACAATTGGTGGGACAATCTTGTGATTAAATTAGAAGATTCGTCGCTAATGACAACTCTAAGGCTTATAATACAATATCATCTGGTTAACGTTATACTCTTGCCTGCAGCAAACCGTGCGACCAGCCGAATGCGTTCATCGATCTCTTAAGTGTGACGTGGACAAACACTTTATCAATGACGTAATGAAACACGTTGTGCACACGTTCTAGAAACGTCATCTTGTCGCTGAAGTGCGTCGTACGATACATGCCGTGTGTCGGAGTGTAGGAGAGCACGAGTGGGGAGCCACCTTCTCCGTAGATTATCGTGTTTGATGGTAAGTTATGAACAATAGCGAATGGCTTGTTAACGTAGTTCGCCAGCAGGTGACCGACCGCGTCTGACTGATCAATGATGACGTAGTCGAATCCGCCGTCTTTGATCTTGTGGCGAAGAT